GATATACTAATATACTAATTACATGGGATATAATAATATACTACACTAATAATGGATTTTTTCATACTTTTCGGTTATCCGACTTTTCAATTATCCGACCAACCCCAGTCCCCAATTGAGTCGGATAATCGAGGCTCTACTGTAGATTGATAAACAGCACGAATTTCGTTTTAAAGGGAAAGTATGATGCACAGGGGTAAGCCACTACTAATTTCAGGTGGAGAATATATATTTTAAATTAAATACATTAAAAATTTCAGCCCGGATTCGTGACCATGTCACAATAAATATTTGCTGGTTTTACTTAAAATTAATTTTTAAACATAATAAAAATACAAACAACGAAGAGATAACATACCAAGAACACATTTTTAAATGTTTTCTACACGTAAAAACAAAAAACTACGTTAATTGTAAACATTAGGGGAGACCGGGGCAACTTCGGCATGCGGGGCAAGATTGTCAAGCGCTTTTTTTTAAAAACAAATTAAAAGGAGACTTTGGTTATAGGTTAGGCAGTNTACATTAAAAATTTCAGCCCGGATTCGTGACCATGTCACAATAAATATTTGCTGGTTTTACTTAAAATTAATTTTTAAACATAATAAAAATACAGAGATAACATACCAAGAACACATCTTTAAATGTTTTCTACACGTAAAAACAAAAAACTACGTTAATTGTAAACATTAGGGGAGACCGGGGCAACTTCGGCATGCAGGGCAAGTTTGTCAAGCGCTTTTTTTTAAAAACAAATTAAAAGACTTTGGTTATAGGTTAGGCAGTTGAGTTTTATTGGTGGTGTGTTGAGTGTAGTGTTTTTATTGTTCTCCAACAAGCGTAGTTGAATTATCAAGCAAATTTTCATTTTCGTTCAATTCCATATAATATTTTTTTTCCATTTATATTGAATTGGCAGGTTTTGTTATAATTCCATGATAACGAAAGTTACTTTTCCTGTTAGAAGGATGTAACTTCAACTTATTCACGTGGCCAGATCGTGGCTTGGCATTCTGTTCTCAGGGTTGTACTTAATGTTTCGAAATCATGACTAGCGGGGTAAGATCGGCAACATAAAGCCACATTAGAAGCAAAGGATAAAAATCAAACAGATGATAAATGAAAACATGTTTGCATTTGTTATTCATGTATATATGTCTTTGAACTTGCATTTCGTTGTAATAATATTAAATGGGTGTTGGATTTGTATTTCTTTGTTTTAATAGTGAATTCCAACTTATACATTGTTAATAACATAATTTTATATACGTGCCTATCTTGCCCCATTACTGTTGCCCCTATACCAGGGGCAACTTTAATAAAAATAATTAAAATAATTACAACTTTACAAAAAGAGAGAAGTTGCCGATCTTGCCCCTATACCCGGGGCAACTTCGTCAATTTCTCTCTTCTTGTAAAGTTGTAATTATTTTAATTATTTTTATTTCCAAACTGATTTTAACCAGTTCTATAGTAAGGTAACATTCCAATAGACAATATGCAAAGCTTTTTTTTCAGTTTACAGCAGTATTTATTACACAAAATTTAAGTAAAACTTAACATGCCGATCTTGCCCCGGTCTCCCCTATAACAATGCTGGGGTGCAATTTTTAATGATATTTTTGATTTAATTAAAATGTATGCTACCCTGCTTAAAGTAGTAATACCTTGACCCTGTAAATTATAATTTTTCCATAAGCAAGAGTCGTGCCGATCATGTCTGACTCCTTTTAGAAGAAAATTTTCAATTGAAATAACGTGAATTCCGGTGCAAACCGGAAGTTTGCAGACAATCGGAACCTTCTTGCCCCTAAGCTTTTAATATCTTGTCACGACTAACATCTCTCTTTTTACATTCTCGAAATTATGGAAAGAGAGACACACGAAAAACAGTAAAAACTTATAAATTACGATTTTTTTCAAATTGCAGCACAATTATTACAAACGAAATAACAAACATAAAAGTAACCAGTAAAATTTAAACGTTTCTATTTTTTGTTATGTATAATAAATTTAGTATAAAGATATATAAAATACGTACTGTATTTAAATTTCACACATAAAATTCTATTGCGAAAGATGACTTCTCACGTGAAGTTTTAAAGTAATAAACGAACAGAACTTCAAACCACAAACATCACATTTCTTAACGCCTGAATCGGTATTTATTTTCATATGTCTATTTAAATCAATTTCTCTCTGAAATGTCTTATTGCAAATTTCGCATTTATGTATTCCTCCTGGCCGATGAGCAGTCTTTTGATGAGTTTCGAATTCGAGTTTTGACGAAAATTTCCTCTTACAAACGTTACAACAGAAGTGTATTTGATCCTTGTAAGCGAGTATATGCCGCTCCAAAGCAAATATATTTACGTAAGTCCGTTTACAGATATTACATTGATAAGGTAATCGTTTGGGGTGTATTTCTGAACAAGAAAATTGTAAATGCAGTTTCAATTTAATTTCTGTTTTAAATCTGCCTTTACAATGGATACAAAAATGCTCTTTCTTTTCGTGAACAGGTTGGTGCCTTAAGAAGTGAGATTTATCGTAAAAACCCTTCTTACATATCTCACAAACGTAAGGAAGATTGTCTTTATTGTGAGAACTTTGGTGACGTTTCAACTCAGAATTTGATACAAAACGTCTGTTACACACTTCACAATGAAACGGTTTTATGTCAAAATGAGTTCTCTGATGAAGGATTAAAGAGGGTTTAGACGAAAACTCCTTTTTACAGATATTACATTTTTGAATATGGATTTTCTTATGAGCTTCCAGCATATTTTTAGTTTTGAATGACTTACGACAATTATTGCAAACAAACATATTGTCATGTTCAACAAAGCGATGTCTGTCAAAAGTACTTTTGTATTTAAAACCCGTTTTGCATAGATCACAAAAATAATTATCACTTCTATCTTCGTGAGTTCTTTTATGTTGTCTCAAAGAGCGTTTTGTTTTAAAATACTTGTTACATGTCTGACAATAGTACTTGCGTTCATCGGTATGTATAGCAACGTGCGCTCTTAAATGCACTTCTGATTTAAACCTTTTGTCACATATCTGACAAGAATAATTTAAGTTTTTATTATGAGTGATTTTATGATTCCTCAAAGAGCATTTTGTTTTAAAACTTTTGTTACACACCTGACAAGAATACTTACATTCATCACTGTGAGTTTCACGATGCCTTTTTAAATGGCCATTTGTTTTAAAGCCCTTATCACATATATCGCATTTGAAAGGTCGATCTTCACTATGAGTACGCTGGTGTTGTCTCAATTTTGATTTCGTTTGAAATTCTTTTTTACATATCTTACAACAATGAGGTGCTTGCTGATGTCTTCTATGATGCAGCTCTAAATGTCCCTTTGAAGCAAGTAGCTTATCGCAGATGTCGCATCGAAAGTGTTTCCCCTTAGATACTTTACAACTTTTTGATGATGATGGCAAACGAAGATTTCTATGATCAATTTCGCTTTGTTTTTCTGTATTGTGTTCTTTCATGTGTCTTCTTAATAGAAATTGCCAGGAAAATTTCTCATTGCAGGTTGTGCAGCTAAATGGTTTCTTTCGAATATGAAAGTTCAAATGCGCTTGTATTATTTTCTTGTTTACAAAAGTCTGTTTACATAAATCACATGTGTGATATTGTTTAGAGTGAGATGAACGCGTTACTCTAAAATATTTTTTCTTAATCTTTCCTTGGATTTTGTTGTATTTTCTAATTAAAGGGATGAATTTCGTCTTGTTTGCATTACATTTATTCTGCTTTTGTCTTTTTGAATTGTGATGATTATTGTATTTCTCACTTTCTTCTTCTTTCTTAACTGAAATTTAAAAGTTAAATACAATAATTTTTAATTTACTTTCAAATTATGTACTTATTGTGTTTAGATAATTTGAAATAAAATAAACAATTTGAATATTTAAATTTAAGTAATACTAAAATGGAAGTAGGTAAGAAAACTTGTGCATTTTTAAATACACTATATTATTCCTTATCTATTTACCAGATTTTCTTTATATTATATCGTTAAATTATGAAATTTATATCAAGTTTAACACGTTAAATTAAGTTAATAGCTTAAGTTTTGATTGTAAAAATAAATAAATCGCATTGTAAAAAAAATAAATAGCTTATTAGGGGAAATGATGGTATTAAATTTCGGTGATTAATGGTCGATGGGGTGGGGAGATTATGGGGGTCATTTTTTTTCCAGTAGGGTCGGACTTAATCATGATTTTTCTCGGTATTAGCATTTACAATCTTATAAAAACTCAATCCCTACTTTCAAAATTAAGGCCTTTCCCATTCTGTAATAGTTAAATACATATATAACAAATGTTTAAATAAAATATGGAAACAGATGGTGCCGTGAAAATTTTAAATGTCGCATAGCGCTAATATTATATATAAAATCTGATCGTCAAAAAAGCATTTAACAGACAAACTTGTTACTTACTTTGTACTTTCGTATCGTTCCTGTTAGAATTTCTGTCGGGAATGAAGAATTCGTTCTTGACAAGCTAAAGAAAGTAGAAACAACACAACAAATGTGTTATGAATGAAAATAATTGTGTAAATCATAAATGTGTTGTTGTGTATTAGAAAAGTGCATTAAAACTAAATTATTTTTTATATATTTTGTAAAAATTACTTATTTTATCGATTATGTTTAAAATGAGACATGCATGTCTTCCTGGGAGTGCTTTATAAAGGAAACTTGACTATATTTAGGTGTTACAAAAGAGGTGAAACCCGTAAAACTCCACTTGGCCAACCCTTTGACCAGGAACGAACCCACAATCAAAATCAACAGTGTTAACGAGTTTTATCTATTGAACCACTTATGAGACCAGGAAATCCAAATTTGTGTTTATTGTAAAACCCGAAAGTTTTATTCCGCCAATAAATCTCAAAGTTGTCTCATAGTACTGCAAAGTTAGGCATTGAACTATTGGTCTGGACCGGAAGTCTTGTAAGTTTTACGTTATTATATAATTAAAAATTGGCCGGAATTGTGACGACGTCAAAATAATTTCGAATTCCTCTCTAATTTTGCTAAAAATATATTTTATTATAGAGATGAAAATGTATAAAATAAAAGCGAAGCGAATGTAAATAAATCAAGTCCCCCGTAAGACTAGAGCACACGTGATATAATTTTTTTTATAAATGTCAAAGAGGAAAATTTGAATCTTGAATCTGGCGCTCATAAACCGGATAAACGAGACGTTTTAACGAGGAAATATTCTTAGATGGTAGGAGAGAAAACACTAAAGTACGAGCGAAAGTTTCAAAGTGAAATCAACATCCTTTGATGGGAGTCAAGATATAGTGTCAGGTGAACACCAAAGATCGACCTTTCTCGCGGCCCAATCTGGTCTAATTTCAATCTGGAAACAAGAAAGTAACCAATCGAGAAAGATCAGGGTCCAGTCAGAAAAAGGAAATTCGGGGATAAAAGTCTATAAAAACCTCGAATTTCAAGGGCAAAATCGGGTTTTTATTTCCCCACCTCACAGTTTTACTTTGTCCGAGATGATGCAAAATTGCTTCAATTTGTAAAATCCACTTTTTTTTCTGATTATATTTTGTAGCGAATCAAAAATTTATTTATCTGTATTCTACAATTATTTAGGAATAATAATAAATGCATTTTTATAAGTTAAAAATATCATTTATAACCGTAGATTTTGAAAACTTGCCATATTACACGCTGACACAACGAAAATAATCTTTTATCTGATCTTACGTGACTTTGCAATGATGAATGGTGGTGTCATTCTAAAGAAATAGCCTGATTGGTATACAAATTTGCTTCAATGTGACTGATGGGCTAAAAAAATCATTTGTTTCTGTTTTAAAGCAACTACTATTTAAGAAGAAGATCTGCTTCAAGGTGATCAAAAGGGTTAACTTATAAAATCGAAGTTTGTATCACTTACCTTTAAATCTTCGTATTCATCTGGGAGATAAACAACGTTACAATCTTCAGTTTTTACTTTAAAATTTAATCTTTTTAAGACAACTTTACATTCTGATTTTATGCCGTGTTTAATGTCACATTTCTCCTCTTTTATTTCTTCTTTCTTATAATCTGTATTGGAATTTACAAAGTTGTTTTTTGGTTTAAAAAATTCTAAGAACAGAATCAAAATAAATAAAACTAATTTTAGTTTTAATAATTTAAAATAAACATTTCTTAACTATGTAAAAATCTTAGAACGAAATATATTCCTTGCTAGAGTGTCGTAAAGAAATTAAGTAACGAATTGCATAACTTAGCCGGAAAATAATTACAGTATTATAATGCTAGCTTCATCTGTTATAATATTTTATGGAAGTGACGTTATTTCAATTTAAACATTTCCCCTAAAAAGGTGTTACATAGATGACCATCACGACTCTATTGTTAAAGAAAAGCATGATATACGTTTTTCCTTTATAGAAATATCTTTCGCGCTTCAAAGTGAAGTGTAAAAGACAATAATGCATGCAAAAATCTTGTGAATAAGCATGATATTATCAGATAAAAGTAAAATAGCTGTACGGATACAGTCGACCCCCTATAACACTGTTGATTATTCCGTTTTATATGAATTCCATGTTGTATGAATCACTTAGATTTTATAAATACGTGTGGCGGGCCGTGTAAGGCTCACGTATTTGTAAAATCTAAGTGACTCGTACAACATGGAATTCATATAAAACGGAATAATCAACAGTGTTATAGGGGAGTCGACTGTATTTCGGTAACCGCTTTATAGAAAATCTTATAATTTTGCACATAATTTTGTACATATGACTTTCTGTTTTATTTATTATAAGGTTTATTTTTAAGAGTAAATGATAAATTAAATTCTTGACACAACACGCTATCACTTTTTTCGTTAGGATAAATGAAAATCAGACGATGAACACGTGTAATTACTGTATAAACTGAAATTTAGTGCCACGTATAGATAGATATAGAGTAAAACTTGTTCAAAACATAAACCTGCTTAACTCTATCAAGACCAATATTAAAATATATTTATTTTCATATGTATCGTATATAAAACATTTGCAAAGATTATTAATTAAATTCTATTAACTTAAATAAATTTATTAATATTTAACTATTTTTCTAATCAGTATAAACATATTTTTATAGTGTTAAAGTGTGAAGCATCTTACCTATTTTACTATTAAATCCAGAATTATTCCAATTATTATCCGTTGAAATTAAATTTTCATAAGTATTTACCTGAAACGATAGAAAAATTAAGTTACATTCTCAAACAAATTAAATTTTACATAAGAATAAATAAAACAAAAATATTTAAACTGAAACATAAAATTTTCTTTAATCCATAAATTCTTTCAAAATTATAATATTTTATTTGAATTAGTTTTTATTGTTTTATTATAAGAATTTGTTCACTTAATTAAAATCTGGAGCATCCACATTCCAAACAAATACGTAAAAATGATAGTTTTCGAGTTACTAAACCTCAGAATACATCATGTCACCCTTTCTAGTTATAAACAATTGAATTCTTTCTCTGTTAGAAACACATTTCTTCACTCAAAAGCTTTCAAAATACAAAAATGTGAGTAAATTCTTTGTATATTATTCTCCCATCCCATTCCTATGATATAAAACAAAATATCCATTTTGACTCGTTTTTATTAACTATTTAATTGTATTTATCTGTTATATGTAATTAAAATAAGTTCAGCCCTCGCTTATAATAAATGTGACATTTAGGAACTATCCATAAATTACGTCCGCATTTTTATTGGCATTTTTACTTTCTCTCCCCATCGTCTCAGTAATTTTCTTCCTTCTTCAGACGTTTAATAAATCTCCCCTTGTTAATTTAAACCTTCATCACTTGATGAATAATAAATAAAATAAGTAAGAACTGAACATACAGAAAATGCTGAAATAAATATAATAAAATGCATAAACTATATAAAATTTAATTAAAAACAACAAATGTCCACTTTACCTGAGGCCATCTAATTCAAATTTGCTCCGACCCCGTAAAGTTATATAATGCGCCACTGTTGATCTGTCTGTCTAAACCAGTGCTTCTCAACCTCTAACGAATCGTCGCCCCCTTCAACGTAGTATCGCCCCCTTCACTACAAAATTCCGATGCCAAGGGACAAGGCTAACGCAAAATTCGTACTGCATTGAATAGACTAGTGACTAGTATAACGTTATTTGTTTAATTATTGTACGATATAACGAATAAAATATCTAATTGTTCTTAATATAATGTTTTACTATATCGCCCAGAAAATTGTTTTTCGCCCCCAAAATATAAATTGTTGCTAATCGCCCCCTGAACATGGAAAAACGCCCACATGGGGGCGATATCGCCCCCGTTGAGAAACACTGGTCTAAACGATTCCAATAGGGCAATCGACTCAACTGTATCGTTTATAATGATTGAAAGTAATTCAAATTAGTATTTATATCTCAATGCTGTCAATCAACACCGTTAAGATTATAAAATAATTCGATCAAATGATTAAATACTTCGTAGTTTATAGATGCTGTCTTATTTAGCCCAGTTAATACCACAAGTGAAATCAGGTAACTGCTGCAAATGATAACCAATTAGTAGTAAAGAAAACTATATAAATGTAAATGTAATGTTGTAATAAAGGATCCTGGAGACAACTGTTTCACTAACGTCTGTTTGACAGTTTTTACATGTAGCCAGGATGGATCCTTTCGGGTTCGGCTGACTTCTCTTACATCAAAATCCTAACATATTCCCTCGTATTCATAAATTGAATTAGATAAAGTTTATTTTAAAATTTTGGAAGGAGTAACGTAAACGTAGAAAGTTTGCAAATGACACTTTAACCCAGTGTTTCCCAATTTTTTTTGTGCTACGCCCCACTAAATGTTTCTAAAATTCTTATGCCACCTAACATACAGCGGCTATACAGTTAACTTAAACTCTGGACGAGTCCATTTTCGAATTGCCCCCTTAACAATCCAATTGCTCCCCTGTGGGGCGTGGTCCCGACGTTGGGAAAGACTGCTCTAACCTCTCTAAAACGAACACCATGGCCAAAACGTCAAATTAAATATATTAAACAGCCTAAATGACTTTTTCTTGAAATCTAAAATGACAGCTCAGTTTAAAGCTCGTGGGGGCAATTTTTATACAAATATACTGTTTAGAAAAATATATTTTCTTATTTCCCACTTTATATTTTACTATCTCAGTTGTGCTCCTCGTCTCTAAAGCAACACTGCAATCTTATGGAAAATTATTTTTCACTCACCTCTGAAGGTTCCGATTTAATTGTTTTATAAAACTTCACATCTGTGTTAAATTCTTTCTTGAAATTCTTTAAATCAACTTTAAAGTTTTCTTTGTTTCGTTCAATTGTAAAGTCCGAATGTTTCGTTACTAACTCTTCTTTTATTTTCATTTTCTCAATTTACGATACTCTCGTGTGTCAACAATCTGTATTCAATGCAAGAATTAATTAATTAATAAATGTCCATTCGAAATTTAAAGCAAGTAACAAAGAAAGACGAGTAAACTCATTGCTCTGTTCCCGTTGTAGCACAGTAAACAATACGTGCACCCTCAAGGTTAACGGAAGAAACTCTAGCGATGACACGTCACCAGCACACGTGATACTTTGTAGCTATAAAATCACATGTTATATGGTTAATAGTATGGTTCTTAAAACGCATCTATGAATGTTTATAGTAAACTAAAAATGAAATACAGTATATTATCGTATTCTTAACATTCTGGTTTACATTATACATCATAGTTTGTGCGAAAAAACACTGAAATAGTTTCTATAGTTATGTGGCAAAAGAAAAAAGAGTTACAACTAATTAAATTAATCATTCAAATCAAAATAGGTCATAGAAATCGATAAAATGTAAAAAATTCAGTCGATGGCAGAAATTTTAGTTTTTACCATTACTTTTACAAAGGGCATTGCGAATTGTTCTTTTATTGGTCAATTTACACACTGATGAGGAACGAAATGGTAGCAAGAATCATGCCTCGTGAACATTTCCCGAAGTTAATGAAATATTTACATTTATCAAACTAATATAAAAAACTTTACCCACCTATCAGAACCAGCCCTGACCCTTAGTCTCGAGTGTTTCGTGTTGTACTCGAACTGACGTCATCGAACTCACTCGTGTTACCGTGGGCGAGTTTACTTCTGAGCTAATTTTACTATCAGCACGCTCAGCCTGTATACTTTCGTCTGAGTGCCACGCTCATTGGCGTTTACTTTAGAGCTATGTGACGTCATGTTTATCGAAATTGCTAAGCTCGGAGTGCTAGCTAGTTCGTTGTCGAGCTTTGCGCTAATTCAATATGGCTGCTCTCATGAAAAAATTACTTTCTGTACAAAGTAGTAAAAATGGAATTAGTTTTCGAAAAATAAACGGCAGAAAGTATTTTTATTGGTAAATTTCAATTATTTGTTGTGTAAAATGTTTACAATGACCTTTTTTTCATTGTAAGGTTCAATAGCTTTAGATGGCTTTTTTCATAAACAGAGTTAATTAATGTGAAAAAATTAAGTTCGATTCATTGTTTATGATTAAAAGTGAGGTTTACCTAATACGCATTTGGAATCTTCAGAAATGTTATGTTCGGAGCATTAAATAAATCGTAAAGAAATGAACAGCATTAATAATAATCCAAAATTACATAAGTTTGTATCAGGGGCGTGCCGTGTCATTTGATGATAGGGAAGCTGTGTTTTTGTAACAAGCCGACTTCCAGGAGCAATCAGTCAGTGACAGTCTAGGTCCATTCGTATTCGTTTGTTCGATAAGCCATACGTGAATAACGTGTAAAATATTCATTAAGAGATATGACACATTACCACTTTTATGTCTTAACCCTGTGGACCTTTAATTAAGAAAGAAAATTTAATAGTGTTAATGCCCCTTTATACGCAAGCAACAGTGCCACATTTCGCTTCTTAAACTTTATCCATTCTGAGATATTGTTTAATATCTCAGAACAGAAAATAAAAAAATTAAACAAATTAGACGCCAACACACACACACGCGCGAATTTTTTCCTTTTATTGACTTTTTTGAAAGGTTCGGGAGGTCTCCAAACATGTAGATTTGCAAAAAAAAAAATCTTGGAGGGTCAAATTTGACACGATTCCAATACTTTTCCGTTTTATATACACAAGTTCGTAAGTAAAAAGGAATCGGAGTCGTCAAAAACTCCGACTCCACAGCCTATCTCTTAGCGCCTTTATACGAATACGGTGGCAATTTTTTCGCCGCGTTATACGAATCCGCATTATATGAACCCGCGCTATAGGAGGGTCTACTGCAGTTTTCTTCCTTGATCTATTTCTTAAATTGTTTTGTCTATTAAGATTATTTATTAATCAGAACTTAACACTTCTGATTAAAAATTATCTTAATTTAGTGTCTATGCTTTTAATAATTTATACATGTACAGTAGAGCGTCGTTTATCCGAAAGTCAATTATCCGAAAGAGTTCCAGTCGGCAAATTTAAATTTTCGCCAGTGCTGTGGCTCTGCAATCTTTGGCTAATTAAATATTTTTTGTTGGTGTGTGTGTTTTAGCTGGCAGCACTAACACTTTTGTGTAGTGTTCTTCTGAGGACTGTGTCGTGCTGAATCGAACGTTTTTGATACTAGATTTTTATATATTTATTTTGTTTGTACAGAATAAATAAATAATTTTTAATGATACAATAGTCACGATTATTATTTTAAAAAGTTTACGTTAGGCTTAACATCGACGAAATTTCAACACGAGGCGACACGCAACGAAGAAAAATTTCAACATGGGATAGGTTAATATATTATTCGTACATAGTCGGTTATCCGAAATATCGATTTTCCGAACAACACAGTTCCCAATTCATTCGGATAACGGACGCTCTACTGTAATTTACTATTATTTTAATACTCTTTTTCGATGAATTAGAATATTAGATACTTCTTTTTATTTTAGGAAAAATTTGCTGTTTAATTTTATCAATTACGAATTAAATTTTTTTTTTATTAATACAGTATTGCATTGACACGAAAAGAAATGGCATCTACTCGTGGTCAAAAAATTCGTTGCATTCTCAGACAACGTCTTTCGGCTCTTTCGAACTTTTCTATAGCGATAAGAATTGCGTATCCGTCAGCCATTTTATCTTTCGTGTAGCGATCTCACATGCTCGAATCAACGTGAGTAGCAACTCACATGGTGAGAAGGGAAAGCACGTGAGTTAGAACTCGAAACTACCAATTTGACGTCAGAGTGTGAAATGGTACCACGTGACACCTTCAACCCGTTGGAAGTTGTACGTATTAGGTATGGTCAAATTGATTATTAACTACTTCATGACGTGCCAAATAATGCTCTGTTTTAAAATATTTGTTACATATATCACAAGTATGGTTGAATTTCTCATTATAGACGATTTTATGAGCTATCAAACAATTTTTCTTTGGTTTTAAGCCTTTTGTTACATACCTGAGAATAGTTACGTTCATCAGTATGAGTTTCATGATGGTGTTTTAGTTGCCATTTCCATTTAAAACCCTTATTACAAATATCGCATTTAAAAGTAAGTTTTTCACTATGAGTTTTCTGATGGCATGTAAGATCCTGTTTCAATTTGAAACATTTCTTACAAATATCGCATTTGAAAGGACGTTCTTCACCATGACGTTTTTTATGCATTTGTAGTTCCCCTTTCCGTTTAAAACCCTTATTACAAATATCGCATTTGAAAGGACGTTCTTCACTATGAATATTTCGATGGCTTTTTAGATGCACTTTCCATTTAAAACCCTTATTACAAATATCGCATTTGAAAGGACGTTCTTCACTATGAATATTTCGATGGCTTTTTAGATGCACTTTCCATTTAAAACCCTTATTACAAATATCGCATTTGAAAGGACGTTCTTCATTATGTCGTGCTCCATGACGTAACCATATGCATTTTCACTTAAATTCTTTTATACATATTTTGCAGGCATGAACTTTGTGTATTCTCTTCTGTATCTCTAAACAACTTTTATCATATTGAACGCGCTTACCACAAATGTCGTTTTTCCTCTGAATATTAGATTTTTTAACATTTCTTCGAGATGACTTCACTCGTTTTCCAGATGGCTGCAAACGTGAATTCATATGAGAGATTTTGTTTTTATTTTCAGATAAAAAGAAAGCTGAACCTAAGAGGCGAAATTTTGTAAAGATCAAAAAGCTGAACCTAAAGAGGCGAAATTTTGTACACAGCTAGGGTACGTCATGAAAACGCACACTAAGAAGGGGTTTTTCGAAATTCCTCAGTGGGGGGAGAGGGAGAACATTAAGGCATAACCCGAAGAACGGCTTCTACTGTACTATTTTAGATGCGATTTTTTGTTTTTAAGTACTTTTAGTCTTCACTGAGTACTTAGGTGTATTAAATTGATGACATTTCAGGCATTGTTATAAATATTTTTTATATAAATTTCGATTTTTTAACCGTTTTAAATTCGAATTTGTTATTGCATATTGTATTCGATTATAGAACGATTGTAAATGTTCCAGAAAATTGATCGTTTGATTCCCAGCAATTCTCATCATTCTCAGCGGTAGGTGTTATATAACAATTACAGTGGGTGATCGGTTAACGAACAGATCGCATAACGAACAAATCGGATAACGAACACTTTCGCGAAAGATTTTTATGTTCGGACAACGAACACATGATCGGATAACAAACACCCCACAGAACAAACACAAGAAGAAGCGACGTAAATTAATGAATACCGATTGGTCTTCCCTTGTCTTCGGGCAACAATTCGAAACTTTTCGAAGTGTGGGAGACGTCGACATCGACGCTCAAGCCGATATATACCGATCGGATATTATTCCTCCGAACTTTGAAACTCTTCCTTGTAATTTCAGCCTTTTATTTTTCTGACAAAACAATTATTTTATGTATTCGTGAGACTGTCGGGTAGGCACTCGTTAAGTTTTGCGTCTGTTTTTCTTTTCGAAAGGTGAGAGTATAATAGCAAAGGTAGAGAGTGGGCAGAAGATGCCTAATGTTGCTGGGCAGTATGGCGTAAACAGGTCTACAGTAGGCTGAAGTTCAATCTTATTTAAGAAACATACTGTATAATCAAGAAGACTCAAGCAGCTAAAGGAGTAACAAAAATCACATCTGAGAAATAAAGAATATCGAACAGTTCATAATGGAACACGAAATGGATCTGAAGACAGAAGAACGCCAAGAACTCTTGAATGAAGAACACCAAGAAACTCGGCGAGATATGTTTTCTTCTGAAAAAGAGGATTAATGCCGATATCTTATATTAAAGATCCTTTGAAGAAGTGGGAGGATGTCAGAACAACGGTTTTAGAATGGCATCCAAACCAGGTTAAGGCTTGGGGATTTCTGCAATTGCAATGATATTAATTACTTACGAAAATACCTGAAGAAGAGAGAAAAGCAATCGACATTAGACAGATTTTTTAACCCTTTCAAACAGAAAAAAAACACGACTAATAAAAACGCAAGACTATGTATGTATGTATTTTTATTATCATCAATACATATAAATAAAGGTAGTAAGAAAGTATATATTTTTTTATTTTGGGGTCTCCAGAACCAATTAATCAAATTTCCATAGAAACCTATGGTAAATCGATAATCGGTTAACGAACAATTCGAATAGCGAACAAAGTCTTGGAACGGATTATGTTCGTTAACCGATCACCCACTGTACTATGTTTGTTAAAATACTAAATATAAATGGGGTTTGCTTGCAAAATCCGCGCGTGCGAAGTCGCGGGTAACAGCTAGTTTAAGTATAAACATATAAATTCCCTCTGGCGTCCCTCTATTTGTGTGCCTTTCTTTAATTTCTAGAAGTAGATACATAAAAGCTGAAAGCAGACATGAAAAGCTTTGGGTAAAAGCACCTTTCTCCCCATAAACTATATACGAACTTTCGGGTTGCACTGAAATCAGGTTATTTCATTTGAAATATTTTTCAATGAATGCCTGTTGTTATCTATTTACCTAGATAACCAACATTAAATTTAATTCTATTGTTAACAAGAAAACTACGTTATACAGGTACTGTACAGTACTTACATAATCAGAAATGTCAAAGAAATCTTCATCTATTTAAGGCTGTCTGGCTTTTCTTAGTGCTTTTTGAGAAATAAGACTGAATGTTGAATGATGGATACATATTTTAAAAGGTCAACATTATTTGAATTTATTAATCATGATTTAGAATACAAGTTGACCCCCCCTATAACACTGTTGATTATTCCGTTTTATATAAATTCCATGTTGTACGAGTCACTTAGATTTTACAAATATGTGTGCCGGGCTGTGACCGGCACACGTATTTCTAAAATCTAAGTGACTCGTGCAACATGGAATTCATATAAAACGGAATAATCAACAGTGTTATAGGGGGGGTCGACTGTATTTTCGGATGAAGCTAATATTTTTTTAGATCATTTAAGTCATATCTTCCTCTTTTGCCGTTTAATATGGTTTACATAATTACTTGACTCTAAATCTGAATAAGGATATTTAAACCATTGTTGCGCTGACCCCTTCAACTGATGATAAAAAGATGTTTCCGAAATTAATGACTGGATTGGTTAATTAATGAATTCTTGTCATATATTGGACATATTCAAAGTAATTCAGAAGAAACTCATTAAGCATTAGTTTAAACAAGTTTATCAACTGTAGTCTGCCTTAGATCTAAGACACCTTAACTCGTATAATTTCTTAGCCTATTTATAATCTATCGTAGGCTACTGTTATAACTATTACTAATTCTAATTTTTAAATTAATTTATTTTATGAAAATTATGTTTTCAGTTTTAAATAAAGAACTTTTTAATGTAGAAATAAAAAATTTAAAATATTATTTTAGGATGCGATTCGTAGAGGGCGCGCTAAGTTTTTCAATATGGCGACGATCTTCGCGTGTTCTGCTTCAATTGGCCTGAAATCCGAGTAAGTTTTTTTTTATTTTTAATTTATTTTTGCTTTGTTTTTTGTAATATAAACATTTCTCAATGCTCAAAATAGTGATGAAAATATAAAAATTCATGATTCTCACCTGATTTCATCATTAAATAATAGACCAAAGAAAGTAAGCAATAAAATATTATGTAGATGATATTCATGTATTATAAATTAATACGAGATATTGCTTGCCATGAAATATATTTTATTCAGTAACGAATTACACATGAGCAAGAAAGGAAAAACAAAAAAAAAAAGAAAAAAAAAGAAATGGAGGAATCAAACAAAATTTTTTCTTCTGTAAATAAGACATTTTCTATTCTTTCTTNCTTTGCGTGTTCTGCTTCAATTGGCCTGAAATCCGAGTAAGTTTTTTTTTATTTTTAATTTATTTTTGATCTAACGATATATCTATTATATTGGTAAGTAATTAAGTAAATATTTATCGATGTAATTGTTTTTTCTCCAAGCATTGCACCCTTGGAAAATTTTTTTCCAATGCCCATGTTTGCCTCGGTAAAGTTTGTGCTAACTTGACACTTGGTTCTTGAACCACGTGTCTGCGAAAAATCACGTGCTGGTCCCAGACACGTGGTTGAAGAGACGGTCTGCAAGTGCTCTTTTTTTGCGTTTTTGTTTTGCTCGGGATTAATTTTGTACGAATTTTATTATTTTTTGTGCTCTCTTGGTTAGTTTGTCGTGTAAGTTATATTAAAGTAGCGTTTAATTAATTAGGCTTTTAGTTTAGTTTAGTTTTAGTTAGAGTTAAAGAAATGGTATCTTCTGTTTTCTTAATTACTTAGGAGTAATTAGATGAATATTAATATTCACTATTCATCTAATATATATAAAGTAAGGCAGGGTGACTATTGTTGACTGCTTCCAGTAGTCAACCATATAAGCTGAGATTTGTGCATAATTAGTCCATGGTTTAGACAAGCCATCTTCACAGGAAGCATCATAAGATGACCCCTTTCTCAATGACATATAAGAATAACAGGTTACCTCACTTGTGGTAATGGGAAAGATTAGCATTCTTGTAGTTGATCACATAGTGATGCATTGTTGGGTCTTTAGAAGACAACGTGGAGTCTACGTTTCGGTTGCATGTTTTCTACAAAATGCTCATTATTGAGCTTGCCATATTTCTGAGGTTTTCAATAAAGGAAAATTCAGTTGTCGACCACCATAAACGATCATGCTGGTAGTACAGGGTGATTGTAGTATAGCCTTTGATTAATTAAATATTATTTTATGATAAGTATGGAACAAACTATTTTTATATATAAATTTTGCTTTTTCTGCTATTACACAACATAATTAAAAGATCAAAGTCCAAAACAGCATTAAACAGTCAGTCATTGATGCCATTATCTTATACACTATATACACATGTAGTATATAGTATAAATACATAGAAGTCATTTAATAAACAGATTTAACAAAATGTATTTATACTATTTTGGAAATTTTTAAACTGGTATAATGTGCCCATCTCATCCAGAATCGACCTGAAACTATCACTATTTGTCACATTTGTTCTAATTACTCTCAAATTAATTAAAAGACAGTAGACACTCTTTCCTAAACTTGAACCTTAGACCATGTTTAAATGATGATGATCATATTGACTGTATGCTCTGGTAGGGTTATCCTTTCTGTTTTTCTGCTTGTGTTTTTTTGTAGCTATTAATTAAGTATTATTTAAGTATCTGTAAGTTTTGGTTCATTGTTTTGACATATTCAGCACCCTTCTGCTTATGAGTTGTTCTTTCTGGTTCGTTTTTGATATTTTATTAGTGTCTTCTTTCTACTTTCAAGTATTTATTTTATATTAGTGCAAAGTCCACACAAAAAATGGGGGAAATTGTAGATATCATTAATTGTCCAGAGATTGGTAGTTTGATTATCTGCAATGATAACCATACTAAAACAGGAGATGCTGTTAACAATCTTTCAGATCTGCCAGATTGCATTAATTAGTGATGCAGTGTCTCACAAATGAAAGATTGGGTTATCAGTTATTATAAGGTAACATTATTGATGATAAGATAATAGTAGTAATAGACACTATAAAAAATATTCCTTCATTTCTTCCACCTCCTAGTTTTACATATTTGTAAATACTGAAGACTAACATGACAAACACAAAGATAATACAGGAAACTGTCAGAAACAGTTGTCTTCTCCTGGCTCACATGCAATCCTTATATATTTCACTAAAGATATTACTACTATTCAGGCTGACATTAGGCTGACATAAACCAAATAATTTAGGGACTTCAGTAAGCTCTCTTAAACCTGTTAAGAGTAGTGGAGTGCAACACAATTGAGGTGACAGCAAGAAAATGATGGCTGCTGTAGACAGTCACTACATTTATGGATAAGTTTAGTATTAAATACTCAGGAGCAAGAATCCAAAGATTATATTATTAAATGTCTCTGATGACATTATACAATCAAAATTATATTTGGTATTCAGAGCACAATGCAGTATTTGGTATAGACTGCAATGTTTCAAATACTTGGATTGCCATAGATCAGAAAACACATCTAGAAACATACCAGTAGAAATTACATCATCCTTTAGGTAGCATCCAAAATATGTTATGTGCTAATTCTAATTCTACAATAACATTTAAGTAGGTTTAATGAATTTGGGAAGAAATAAGCTTTTCATGATACAAATATTTTTATTTTTCTGTAAAGATTGAAACTGATTAAGTAGCTTGCATTAAAGAAAGGATCTAGTAAAAACTGGAATGCTTTATCTGCTAATAAAATATGCTCCATTTTATAACAGGTAAATATTCTTATTAAAATAGTTATTTGATAAAATATTTTTGTAAAATTACTTCTAAACAAAGCATCAGTTGTTGACAAGATTGTTTGTTCATATAACTTTAAAATGTTTGTATGTAGTATTTACATATTTTCTCCATTTATCATCATCATTTATAAAATATTAACATAATTCTTTTATTCAGTTAAATTACTGCCGTTATTTTCATTCCATTTTATTTAGAGTAATAATCAGTTATCATTTGCAGCAGATACAGTATATGATTTTATTTGTAATACTAATTATTTAATAATTATATTTATTAATAAGCTTGCATATTTAAATTGTGATCTTTTAAGAAGTTAGTTCTATCATTCAATGACCCTAACGCTTGATTTGTTATAATATCTGTTTTCTTATAAACAGCAATTAGAAACAAAGAAAATGGTGGAGTGCTATAAATGTAACAAAAGATTAAATCCAGAGGATTATCCCATTGGAATAGGTCTACTTATGAAAACAATCAATTAACACTTTATGAATGTAAGCATTATGCAGAATTCATGGCCACTTTGAATAAATTGATAAATTCTATGCAAAATATTGCATCTTGAACTTTAGATATTAATAATAATAGAAAATATAACTGTGAAAGAAACCAACCACTATTATAGGCATAGAATAATTTATCTGGAAAGGACATGCCCATTGTCAGAGTAAACTATTACACATTTATTTGTCAGTTATAAAGATTTATTTTATGTAGCACTAATAAAGCAAAGACATTTTTATGAAGCTGCTACAAGTTTTGTATCAATCAACATAATTACAAATAATTTTCAACTGAGAATTGAAGATTAATTCTTACAGAAATAAAACTAAAAGAAGAATTTGTAAATAACAATTATTATTTTATGTTTGGAACTTTGAGTTCACTTTTACAAAATTATTGCACTAATGGCTGAATTATTTATTTATACAGTAACCTCTCAGTTATATGTCTCTAAAGAGACTAATGATAAAAGTCATATAAGTGAGAGAGTTGTACAGAAGCAAGATTATCCAACTTGAATGAAAAATATTAAAAATATAAACATAACTCTTTCACTATTGATTACTGCAGTTAAAAGCATTATTTATTTTAAATCCAAAACACAAAGTTAAATCTGGCAACATTGGTCACCCAGAAATTAATGTGCATAACCAAGTTTTGCTGCAAATGTGGGCCTGCAGGGTGGAAGTACAGTACTGTATTTTTTAATTAAAATCTCCATAGTGCAGAAACTGGAAATAAGTTGATTTTGGAAGTTTCGTTGACTTCGACATAGTTAAATAGAATACATGTCAGGGAAGTTTAATTTGTCAAAATTTGAAAATATGCATGGGGATAATCGAGGCCTGACACAAAATTTATGCCAAAGTCTGTACAGTGGGTGATCGGTTAACGAACATAATCCATTCCAAGACTTTGTTCGCTATCTGAATTGTTCGTTAACCGATTATTGATTTACCATAGGTTTTAATGGGAATTTAATTAATTTGTTCTGGAGACCCCAAAAAAAAAAAAAATGTATACTTTTTTACTATGTTTATTTATATGTAATAATAAAAATACATACATACACAGTCTTGCATTTTTATTAGCCATGTTTGAAAGGGTTAAAGAATCTGTCTAATGTCGATTGCTTTTCTCTCTTCAGGATTTTTCGTAAGTAATTAATAGGATTGCAATTGTATAAAATTTCACTTTTAATAATAAAATATAATTTTTCTATCATTTCAGTTAAATAAGTATGGAGAGTGAATTTCAACAGATAACACAGAGTTCTTCCAGTATTAGAAATAATTTTGGTGATGATAATTCAGTAGGTAAGATGATTAATATTTTTAATATTAGAAAAATACATTTCTAGTGGTTAGAATAATAGGTAAAACATAAATATAGATAAATCCATATTTATATAAATAGAAAGTTGGTAACATTTGATAAAAAAAATTTTATATGTAATAGATATGGATAGTAAACACATTTACATTATCAGTATTATTTTATCTTGTACAGTTAAGGCTGTCAATTCAGTTTACCACTACTCAGGGTATGTTCGTAAAGTCGAACGAGTTAAACGAGAATGATGTCATCGTTATTCTTATTTCGTTAGAATTTTCGAACGATTCGTTTAGAACTAAATGGCTATTTCTAAAATCGAAGATACAAATGTTGCTAGTACAGCCTTATCCGAAATATTTTTCTTAGATTGCTTCGGGTGGACAGTTACTCCAATCATTTCATCTTTCAATTCGCAATTTAAACACTCGAGTAGATTTAGAAACATCGATATCGTTGGGCACCATTTTCTTAATGAAGTAAACTAACTCTTTCCTTCGTGAACTTCGTTAGAGTTTTGTTCGAAACGTCATCACCGCAGAGCATGCGCACTGAGTGAGACTACTACTATTTGAACGATTCGTTACTAACGCGTTTAACTCGTTTGACTTTACGAACGTACCCTCAGAACAGTGAGAATCCCATATTAATAAATGCCTTTATAAAATGAAATTTGATAGAATTGAACATACAAGTGGTGAGGGATCTATTTGCATTTGTTTTATTGTGTTTATTGTTATATTTTTGTGATTATCAGAAAACAGTATGTCATTCATCTATGACTGTTTAGATTGCATATCAATGTTTTAAGGCCTTGAGTTTTGCTTATTTAATAATCTGTTTTGTTTTGAAAGAGAAGTATATAAGAAGTATAGTATAAAGCAGGGTTCAGCAACTTATGGCACTCCGGATGATTTTCAGTGGCACTCTGATTGAATATAAATGTAGTAAAAATCATACTTTAATTATTGATTACACATTTAAGTGGAAGTCATAGTTCAGCGAAGGCCATAGTATATTAAAAATTAATGTCTTGTTTGTATTCTATTACAGTGCATGCATTTACGTTTCATGTTGTCATCTACATGTTATGCAAGTGCTTCATGTGTAAGAACATAATTCAATTAGCAATTTAACTTCAAAATTATACATTTTTGAAGTCTAATAACCAGACTAATTTTGATAACATATATAATAAACTTGGTAGAATCATGTCAGCATTCGGAATAACACTATAACTTACATTTGGCACAACACTGCTGAAAGGTTGCCGAGCTCTGGTATAAAGTATAATATAAAAAACAGCAATAAATTTGTCTCCAACTCTACACTGACACTGACTCCATAGATATGTATACTCATATATGTATTATATGTTTATTATTGAAAAGAATACTACTTTGATATTTTGTTTTTACAAATTCTGAACAAATTCTGGCATGGAAAGTAAAAAAATTTTGTCAAATATTTACTGTAACTTAATTAATAAAAGAATCACTTAAACTTTGTGAAAAAATTTCTTTATTATAATTATTGCCTTCCAAATTTATATTAGTTATAATAAAAGCAAATATGAGTGGGAATAATTCCTGTACACAATAATTTACTTATTAAATTTCCATTGAAAAATATTTTGTGTTATAAGTATTTTTATAAACATTTATACTTTTGTAAGCATGTATTGATGATATAAATTGTTTGTATTGTTTGTCACTATTTATGTAGTTTGATTTTTATGATAATTGCTCTTTAACATTAACAAGAGTAAGATATTTAAAATTTTATTCTCTATCAGTTGTGCTGTTTCCTATTAAAGATTCTCCTCTGATGTTTTTTTTAAAGTTAAGATGTTAAGATTTGGTATCATTGATTATGAATTTTTCTGGACTCATTCTGCTCTCTGGGTATCAAGAGAATATTTATTTCAAGTTCATTGTGGACCTGATCAACACCACAATGGAAGAAATAGATGGTCAGAGATGGGGCCTGACAAATTTGGTCCAAAAAGTTCTTGAGGGTTTTTTGACCATCTGGATTCAATGTTCAGAGTAGTAGACTGATGTGTTAACTGCCTTAGTCTTCCATTTGGCTATAAATCATAATTATTCAGTGGCATATGGCTCTGTTTTGGTTTGTAGTTACAAATGAATTATATAATAAAAACATTTACTGTATTTTAAGATTAAGAAATTTTCTGTTAAATTATTAAAAATAAAAGTAATTTTATTAAATTATTTCAATTAGTTCTTTACAATTTTCTTAAGCAACACAATTTCATAAATTGCAATATAGATTGCAGGAAAGAAGAAATAAAGAAGAATTATGGTGTTAAATCAGAATGTCGAGTTGTTTTAAAAAGATTAAATATTAAGGTAAAGTCTGAAGATTGCAAAGAAGTAGTTGACCTTCCAGATGAATATGAACACTTGAAGGTAAATAATACAAAATTTGAAATATCTTATAAGTAAAACTTTCTTATTATTTTGTATGAGTTATTAAAAAATAGTTAAATTTAACAATTATGTAAAATTATATTTTAAATTTAAATGTATTCTGTATTAAACTGCCGTTGTCAAAGTTTCATTTACAGGGAAGTGCAAAAGGTAGGTATTTTTATCTTTTGTTCTTTTGTATTTCTTATTTATAATTTACTTCATGCATAGAAATGAATGTTTATTCTATGTTTTTTCCATAAGAACAGCTGTGTACCTACTTTTGCACTCACCTGTATATATGTAAGATGTATCTTGACAAAAATAAATGTGTTGAGAGATGAATGGTTTCTGAAAAATATACAAATGTCAATAGATGTATAGATTCTTTCTACAGATCTTGTTCTGCAGAACATGTCAAGTTGTGTATGGGACTTCATGTAGGATGAGGTATATTGAAAGAAGTTAGAGTCTTTTGATTAATTTATTGTTCTGATAATAAATGCAGCAGCAGTTATCAAGGAGGGTAGGGACATCTTTCAAAAAAGTACACATACTACTACCACTACCACTTTACTAAGATGTATTGGAAGATTTATTGATGCCGAGAATAGTTACTTCAAGAACCTCCTTTAATCATCACTCCAACCTATCATGAATTGTAATCAGATGCAATAGACCATAATTGCAACCATTGCTGCTCCCTTACATACAAGATAATAAGTATGTTAATATTAATAAATTACCCTATGTTTGCATAGACTTTTCCACATACTATTCTTATGTGTTCATCTTCTGAACTGTGGTTATTTACTTATGGTTATTTGTTTATATGGTTATTATAATAAATAGGAAAAAAAAGGATGTGCATATACAAGATATTTCTCCTGATATACTTGTATATGCACATCCTTTTATTCCTACTTATTTGCTTATTTATATATTTGATCAAAATGAAAAGCATGGAATGCCCACCCCAAAGTATAGATTAATAAAGTCTCATACAAAAAACATAACACTTTCATTACAACTTGTGTGTTTTCTGCTCTGTACGTAATTTGCTTCTTTCTGCTTCACAATGACTTTGGAAAAACGCACTCATATTCACTAACTTGAATTACAGTAAGAATTAAGGATAAATCTGGAGTCAAACACTAATAACTCTATCTTCAGAAAATCAGCAAATAGATGATAAACTTTGGATTTGACATATGCACAAAAGAACCTGTTTTACAAAAATTCACAACATTTGTTAAAGACAAAAGTGAGCTGTTAGAAAATATAAAGTATCAAGATATATAATTGTATGAAACAAAGAAGTCAGTGGATTAATTCCTCAAGTGGAAATGATTTGGAAAAATTGGATTGAATGTGAGAGATTAATTAGACCAAATTGATCATAGTTTGCTTTCCATAACAAGAAATTATGTGATGTTGCTGATAGAATACTGCTGTATGTTTTTATGCAATGGGAACTTTTGAGTTAGTCATAAGTGATTAAGATAATTTAAGCAAATCATCTGCTTGTAGAGCAACTAATAGAGTGAGTTTTTACATTGCTCAACTCTCAACAGATAACATTTTAATTGCCAAAAAGAGAATCTGAAAGAAAACAAGTAAGTAATGCAAATAATCTTTTATCTTTCAATTTTATAACAAAAAATGTTGTTGTTTAGTAATTAAATAAGTTTTATTTTTATTTTTTAGATATTTTTGTATTAGAATCATTACTTAAAATAATATATAGTCTTTTATTCATTTAATTAAATCTTTATTCAAAATATAAACTGTAAATACAATATAAAAATAATACATCTATCAAATATATATTTCTATTTTCAGATAACTCAAGATTTTTTTTATTTGAGTGATTTCCATGTGTCCACAGAGCCATTGACTGTACTCTTATTTCAATTCACTCACCAGGAGGAGAAACTGCTGAATCATTAAAAATAGAAAAGGATATTTTTCTATTAATGTTTAGACCTTTTCAAATAACAAATTAGTATCAGAAATATAACAGTCAGATGGCCACGGAGTTTCCATGATGGTACCATACAAATAATCGTCATCTGTGTGCTATTTGAAGCAGAATTTCTTTAGCACGTAACTTCTGAAAGGTTTGCATAATCACAAACAGATTATTATTAAACAAAAAGGTCCTTTTGATGGCCACAGATTTTGCTAAAGAGTTAGCCAAATCAATATGTTATAAGTAAAATATTGGGTATAACAATATTAAAACTTTTGAAATCAAATTTTGTTGTTTGAATTAATACATATTTTGTTGAAATAAAAGACATTTTTGTTACTCAAGAAACTCTTGTGTTGAAGTAGGAAATAAATTATTGTTAATAGTGATAATGGATATATAAGGGCACAAAGTATATTTGATATAACCATAAGTAACACAGATTTAGCTTCTGAAGATTGTACTTCTGTTATTTTTGAGACCCACCATATACCTGGAAACATAATACACAAAATTAATTTTTGGTAATTCATTTTACAGTATTTGTTATAGTTTAAAAATATGAAAATTGCTTTTTTATCACTCATAGTTACTAAAGTTTAAGTTTAATATATATACTATTAATTCTATTTATATATTAAACAAATAGCATTTACAAATTCTTAATTGCCTCTGAAATGTACTAAAACATGTAAGTAAAAATAGTAAAAAGCATGGCCAATGGTATTTACATTTAATAAATACAAAAATACTATGTTTTCACAAAGATAAAATACTTTGCTTTCATTTCTCTTTTCTGTCGTTTCACACCAGCGACAGTTTGGATAAATGTGGATGTTAAATAACTAAAACATAATAAAATAAATAACTGAATGTTAATTCTTACTTCAGAAACTATCTGCTTCTTCATTTATTACAGATATTCTTATTTAGAAATAATTTTTATTTTACCACAGATTTATTTTATACATTTACCATTTCATTTACTTGACTGTTTTCCTATTGGGAATCATTATCATATTCATTTTATAATGGTCTAGTTATTATTATTATTATTATAGATAACATTCTCTGCCCAACCTGATGTGTATCTGGAATTTCTCTTCCAGGTTTATACACTTCTATTTTATTTTTTCTTTTCTTTTACTCTTCCTACTGTTATATATTAACAGAGGAAAGTATGGTGATCGGTGAAAAAATGATTCCAAAATTTTTACATTTTGAACCCGGGACCTCAACCTGGGTTCAAAATTGAACCGGGAACATCAAGAAATGCAAAAAGATTGGGGTTTTTTTTTTGTGTATGGATGTTAATGTGTGTAGGGGGTATGATTTTATTCACTCATTTTGAAGTTTCCTGTGCTTTTTGTCAAGAATTTGTGTAATATTGCAGGAAAGTTTGTGTATTAAATTTTAATGGTTATAGGTGAAGGGGATTGTTTCTTACTCCATTAGGGACTGACTTAATGAAGATTTTACTTTTCATTTTTAATTTAAAATTTTTATAAACCTCATCTCTACTTTCAAAATTAAGCTTTTTGCTATTTTATAATAATTAATAATATAAAAAAATGTTTCTGAATTAAAGAACAGATGGCACAAGACAATTTTAAATGTTTTTTGGGAAAACTTGTGCAACTCATTGCTGAATTTTTTCTTTTTAAGTTTTTATAATTTCCAATTACCTGTTTGTCTGTTCTAAGTTTAACACCTGAGACACTATTAAATTAAGCATTACCTATAAAACAATAACAATTAATAATAGAGTAATTGGAATAAATTATAGAGATGAATTCAGATATAGAGATCAAGGTTTTGATCTTAATCCAACTTGTTTACAATCCAACTCAAACTCCTGAGACTATTTACAGTCAATGTATAGTCTCATATAGGAGTTTGAATTATAAGTTGTTGGATTGAGATCACGAGAAATATTTATAAACAGTAAAACCTTTGTAAACCGGAATCACACGATAGAAAATTTTTGTTCTATTTTTACACAGGTTTCACTGTATGTATAACTATATATATAACTATAACGAGTCTGCAGATATACTCGTCATTTAATGCCTTGAGTGGATGTTTCTGGCTGAGGGCACATATGTGTCCCCAGTTGGTACGTATTAATCACCAATTGTTATACATTAGGCTTGTATATACTGGAAGAGATCGGACCGAAGGTCCGGGTATTGTAACTGGCAATGCATCTGCATGGTAAGCAGGAGTTGCTGGTTTCAGTCCTGCTTCAGGCCAATTCTTTCCTTCTAGTTTATTTTAAATTAATTAATTAGATATTATAATTATTAAATTTAATAAGAGATGGTGCCTAACGCCTCCTTCTAATGCCAAATTTATTTGTTATTCATAATTAATATTTCCAAATTATAGCCTGATTATCTATGGCAATTGTGGGTGTCTATACTCTACTAAATTGCAGATCACTGCCAAATTAAAAATAAACATGATTATCAGTAATAATAAATGTTTGGTTTTCTTTAACTGCGACAGCATTTATTTCTTTATTTTCTATAATGTTGATGTATTTTTCAGTTGATTCCAATAGAAGCTCTTTTTCAAATGTGCTAAAATACTTTCGGACACGTTTGACTTCTTGCACTAATTTTCCACTATATCATGTGATTTATTGGAACCAATCACTGTATCTGTTGGATACCAACAAATTAACAACTCTCAACTCCAGTCATATAATGAGTAAACAACCTTTGAATTAAAAAACTAGATTGGTGAATACAAAACTGAATAATTCTTATACTACCCGGGGTTGATATATAACTTGAGTACATCAACTCTCAAAATAACCCATGTTGGTGAAAACGGGAGTAAAGGGATCATTGGGTTCAAGTTGGTGGACATAACAGGCTGCCCCATTTTGAGTTTGGTATTGCTCACAATGGAGCAGCCAGGTGATTTGGGATGTAATCTCGCATATCCTATTGATATCACTAAAGTTTGAGATTCCAGGATGATTATGAAACCTGTTGTCCTTACTGTCTAGCCACTTGCTCTTATATTTATATAAGTGGCAAAATAGTTAATATTTTGGAAAGCATTAATAATTTATACAAAATTTATGAAAGATAATTAGTTACCAATTATATTTGACAGAGTACATTTAATCCCAAAGGGATATATATAATGGAAAGTCATTATTAATTAATTAGTTAAACATTAAACTTGTGTACATTAATAACAAAAAGTGATAAAAATCTATATACTTATTTGAATTAACATTACTATATATATATAAATATTCCATTTCCTTTTTTTGATATTTTTAAGTAAATTATTTATAAATGTTACAAACCATTTGAAATTCATTACTTTGTATTGTTTATATATTGTTTAGCTTATGGAGAAGAATAAATCTGTCATTTCTGAGAACAGATTTAACAGAAATGGAACAAAAATTGAAAGTAAGCAATACTTTAAGTGTTTATTTGTTTAACGTTTTTTAAAATATCAGACTTTCTTTGATACATAATTACGTGTAGGTCAAATTTAACTACCAGAGATGTGATTTATGTTAGATATTTAAAAATTTAATAATTTAAGAAAAACCCTAGATCATATTAATATACCTTTATAAATTTGATTAAAAATATGTTAGTATATTAAAATTATTAAATGCAACTCATTAATATCCTCCCATTAAGTACATCTGACTGACGAAAGGGATAATGGCATTATGAACACTTCGGTGTTACAGTTGATTCCAAAAATAGGCATGATGCATTGTTACATTTGTTGCCATTGTTTTCTATTTCTTTTTGTTTTAATAAACTGGTATACTCATCTAATCTGCATTGATATGTACCATACATAAAATGTTGGGAAGTTAACAGAATACATTTTTAATGTACTGGACTATTTTATTCACACCAAAAAATTGCAATAGCACAATAGCAAATAGTAATATTTCTTACTGTTTTGAAGGACAATTTTTGGCCAAGCTGTTTCATTCCCTGAACATTGGGAGTTTGGTTGTGAGTTTGCACCTTGTCAGGATGGGTTGGCCACTTGGAGTTTTTTGTTTTCTCCACATCTGTAATGCCTGAATAGGGGCCAGTTACCCTTAAAAAGACATCCTGGAAGGCATTCTCCTAGGCAGATTGCCCAAGTGTTGCATTGCCATAAGTTAATAAACAAACAGAAGGACAAGTTTTGTAACTTTCAATAAGAGTTTATAACTTTCATGAAAATAACTGTCAATTTTTCTTTCTCTTGCTGTCTGTTTATTTTATTATGTCAGTAAGTTGTTCAATAGTTTCTTGTTTAAATAAATTTACTAATGATTAATTAATAAATAAATAACTACTTTTTTCTCTTTTTGAAGTCATTTAGCCTTATACCCTGTTCGCACCGAGCATTTCGATCTAGATTGTGACCAAGGTCAGTGTCTTGGTGCGACCTCTCTCGACCGTTTCAATCTCGACTGAAACGAGGTTCAATCGCAATCGACTCAAGAGCATTCTTGAAACTAGATCCAGTCATAAGAGAGATCCCACAATCCCACGCGCGCAAGAAAATACAAGATGGCTGCGGAACACGTGTTGGGCTATTGACAGCAAAATAAAAAAGATACTGTATTTGGAGAGACGATGACATCTGTCTATAATTAGATATATGGCAAGAAAAAGTACTGTATTTATTTCTAACCAAAACTTCCATTTTGTTTGTTGGTGTTCGTGACTTATCGCATAGTTATGTCAGTTTTATCATTGCGTGTAATAGCCAGGTTCTTCTCAAGCGGACTGCCTGTCTAAACAGCACTACGCACGACTGGCAACAGTCACAATCGAGATTGTAGGTAAAACGAGATCGAAGTGAGTCATGGATTGTGTGCAAACGTAGTATTACACTTGTGGATTAGGCTAATAACAAGATGAATTACTTTAGATCAGGGGTGTCCAGCCCGCAGGCCGCATGCGGCCCAAGGCAAGTTCCAATGCAGCCCAATAAACGTGTAAACAAAACCGACAAATGTTTTTATTTTTTTATTATTTATTTATTTCAACAGCATAAACTCAAAAAAAAGTTTCACAAAGCCGTAAACCTTTATTCATATTTTATTTTTGAGTGGAAAGAAAATATTTTCAAATACTTGGAGATGTGTGAATGCGGAAGGATTACTAAATAAAGCTGGAGTTGTGACTCAAAGGATTATAGACCCAAATTTGGGAAAAGGAGGGAAAGATGAGAAAGGACAAAAGATGTAGTAGTGAGAAACGTTAAATAGATCTTCTGTTAAGCAAATATGGACCCGTAATTTTTCAACCTTTTTCACTTCTTTATCTTTTGTCCTTTGCCTCTTTTTCCCCGCACTTGGGTCTATAATCCTTTGATTCACAACTCCAGCTTTATTTAGTATTTCTTCCAACGTTGCAAGATTTGGCTACATTGGGCCAAATGTGGCTACATTTTTTTGCTTGACGTAAAAAATATCTCTGTATCTGGACCGCTATATGTTACAATGTTTTTAATTCAGCTCTGTAATCCAAAAATTTTTGGTAGACGGACTCACAGCAAAACTTTTAGTTAGGAACTCACTTTTATTCCTTAAAAAATGACATATGCATTTCAGGTTGGTATACTCATCCAACCCCTCTTCAGTGCTAGTTTTTCAAAAAACAATAAAAAGCTACAATAACCAATACATGACACCAAATATATCACAAAATTAATTACTACTTACTTACTCTTAAAGTAAAAGTTTTGTATGGGCTACCACTACATCTAAACACCAACCATTTGTTTTCCATTTAAAATGCACTTGAAGTGTTTTCATAACATCACTTCTAAAAACCCAATATACATTATGACTATACTGTAAACTTAACAAATGTATACAATAACCAATACATCACATACCTTTAAAATATAAATAGTATATGAACAATCAAACCAACTAGCAACATTAGAGTACCACTTTTAAATCAATCGCAATAACTTCATTATTAGTATATAGCGCCCTCTATCATTTTGTACCATCTAGAATCTATTTGCATCCCATCAGAAATATTTATTAAATTATTTTGGTTTTTCATAATTTCTAAGTGTTCTTTAAATTTACATTTATATATATCCTTTTCATGGTGTAGAATTTTAATATTATTGCGATTAATTTTTACATTTATTGTTTTCCGTGTGTTCATACTATGGCAAATTTTTATATCTCAACCTGATAGCTGCTTCGTGTTCCTTTATTCTTATATCTAATACCCGTCCAGTTTCTCCTATATAACTACATGGATTCATACAGTTACATTCTATTTTATATACAATACCTGTCTTTTTTAACGGATCTATATTATCAAGGTTACTTCTATTAATATATTTAGAAACATTATCTGCTGTAATCTTATTAGTCAAAGATGAGTATACCAACCTGAAATGCATATGTCATTTTTTAAGGAATAAAAGTGAGTTCCTAACTAAAAGTTTTGCTGTGAGTCTGTCTACCAAAAAAAAATTTTTGGATTACAGAGATGAATTATATACACGTAAAAAATATCATTTGGCACTTTGGCTACTTTTTTTGGCTACATATTATTTATAATTATATTAATTGAATAAAAATGTACTTTAAAATGGTGTTTCATCGCTTTTTATTAATTAGAGACCCAAATAAATTTTCTTTAGTCTCTTTTATAATAAATGAATTTATCTACTTCTAAGTACAAATTGAAAGTGTCTGTAGAAGTAATTTTTTAAAATATCCTTTTTTCTTGATAAAGTTTTAATACTTATTATTATAATCTAGACATGTTAATTTTTAAATATACTTGTATATTGGGCCACAAGTATATATTATATATACTTGTGGCCCAAAACTCTGTGACTTCTTCCAATTCAGCCCAGAAAAACAAAAAGGTTGGACACCCCTGCTTTAGATAATAAGTTTTATTTAAAACATTTAATAATTCAGCAAATCTGAAGGTCATTTTTCAGCAATCTAAAGCTAGTCATTCACTAGATCAATTTCAGTGTGTGATTGAACACTTTTGACACTGCACATGCATAACATGCGGAAAAAACAGCTTGAAAATTATGAAGTTAATTAAGAGCTGATTGGATTTATGAACTGGATGAACTCTTTTTTCTATGAATCAGTTGCAGCCAATCAGTTAACAATAAATGTTAACAGATGGTGTTACATCATTTTCTAAAATGTAGCTATACTCCATCTCAACTAAGTTAAAAGTGACATAAGTAAAAACAGATAACAACATGATGTCCTGAACATCATTACCAATATAAATTCCATTATAAAATTTATTTACAGATGTCCTTACATTATGTAATTATTCTCAACAAGCATCAAGATATCTTTATTTTCTTTTGACTTGTGACTAAGTTATCCAATATTTGCTAATTGGAAAGTACACCAGTATAATAAGTCCTATTAATAAACAAGATCCAAGTAGACAGGATATAGACAGAAATTTATAACATAATAATACTTTTGTTTATTTTAAAACTATTTAATGTATGAAAACTAATAAGAAGTATATAGTAATAAGAATTCAAATCACGAGGTTGAAATCACTTTGCAATATATACATAAAAGGATTGCCTACTGCCTCTATGTTGTCATCGTGACTGTGACTGACTGCTGAAGTGCAGTGAAGTGCAGATATAGATATGGTGATTTGTTTCAGTGATATTTGTTGAGTTTTCCTTTCAGTCTAAACCTGTTATTAGGTTAAATGTAATTTTCAATCTTTCACAGGCAAATTGGGTACAATTGAGAAAACACCTCATATCTACTGTAGAATATATGAAGACCAAAAAACAAAAGTATATGAATTGGGGAAATTCCATTCTTGACCAACAGCAGACATATGAAATTAATTGAGTCTTGATTTAAAAGTACTGTATTAAAATGGCTAGACCTTGTTATAAATAGGTAAATCGGCAACACTTGTCAACAAACAAGGGCATTCTTCCTGCAGGCTCTCACCGTCAAGCTCAAATTGTTATTTTCATTTACTTAAAACTTTCATAAAATGCTTGAATGGCAATAAACAGTGACGTACATTGTAATATTACATAAACTATAATATTCAAATTAATATATTTATTAAAATGTAAGTAATTTCATTATTATGTTTTTTAAATTTTCAGTGAAGGAGAAAGAACAGAGTGAAGAACATGATACTCATCATAATCCAAAAAGAGCAAAGCAAAATAAATACAACATTGACAGGAAGAGGTTCAGTTTTTCAATTAGAAAATTCAATAAAATCCAAAGGAATATTAAAAAGAAATACTTCAAGGTAATGTTCACATCTCTTTCTAAACAAGAGTTCACATGTAATTTATGTACACAGACTTTCACAAATTACAAAGTATTACGAGCCCATCTGCTCTTCCATATTGGCAAAAAACCATTTCACTGCACAACGTGCAATCAGAAGTTTTTGTGGGAATTTATTTTGCAAAGACACAAGAAGGAACACAAGAATGAAATTCAAATCGAAATCAATAATAGAGAATTTGATTTGCAGTCATCTTCAAAATATCTTTTAGAACCTGTCGAACAGTGGAAACCTTTTGAATGTGATATTTGTGGTAAGCGCGTTATGTCACTGAGCCGATTAGAGATGCACCATAAAACACATTCATCTTATATTTGTAAAATATGTAAAAAGGAATTTAAATGGGAATCTTATTTGAGACTTCATATGTTAACACACAGTGAAGATCGTCCTTTCAAATGCGATATTTGTAATAAGGGTTTTAAAACAAAGTACAGTTGGCTAAAACACAACGTTGTTCATGGCGATAAAAGTGATTGTTGTTGTGAGATATGCAAAACAACTTTTAAAACGCAACAGCTTTTAAGCATTCACATGGAAAAGCATAGAAAATATGATTATTCCTGTGATATTTGTAACAGACCTTTTAAAACAAACAGCTCTCTGTGTAATCATAGAGCAACACACAGAGGCAAACTTAAATATTTTTGTGAGATGTGAAAAGCAAGTTTCAAGTATAGAAGTACTTTTATAAGACATCACCTGATAAACAGTTTACCAGTAAGCAGTTTAAAGTACATTGTTAAATATAATAAAGATTGAATTCTTTACCAGTAAATTCGGTAAAAATAGACAGACGAAGGATGATTTTTGAAGCCAAATATTTATTTTCATACACTTCGAATATTTGTTAAAGACATTTTTTTTGAATTATCATATTACAACAGTAAGCTGGACAGCAGTTTGACTATTATTTCTTTGCTTCAAAGCCTAGAGTGAAATAGTGATTTTGGTTGACAAAATGGACCATATTTATTTGAATGTGATCATGATAAAAGCACATTCAAAAACTCCTACACAAAAGTGTAATATCTCTAAAAGAGAACTTAAAAATAAATACAACTATCCATTCACCAGAGAATTCTTCTTGATGTAAAACTATTTTAATTGTGTAACAGATGTTTTGCATGTAAATATCACTTAAAACACCAAAAAAATACTTACTACAAGTATTGGTTTTCTTCGTTTTGTGAGATAAAGCTCTTGTTTATGGCCTTTATCATAAAGTTAATTTGTTAAAGCATCAACTTACTTATTTTACCAAACAATTTCAGCCATTGTATACCAGTTACGAAAAGGAACGTAAACTGAAATATCATTTAAAATTACCCTACCAATGTAAGATATGTAAACAAACTTACACAAAGAATTAAAGAATCATTTAATTATATACAGTGGTTACATGCATTTCTGTTGTGATATTTGATAACTGCAAAGGAGGAAACTATCAAGGGAAAATATACAGAAAGGCAATTAAAAACTATTGTAAATATTGAATTATGCATTAAGAAATGTGATATGTGTAATAGAATTTTCTGTTTCAGTCATACTAATATTCATGTGCAAAGCCATCTTTTACCGTAAAATATTCCATGTGAAAATTCATTGAAACTATTTAAATACAAAATGTGTTTGTAAATAATAAACACATTTGAATTTTATATTAATTAATACACATTTTATGTGATATTCAAGAAAACTAGCAATGCTTAAGATGAAGAGATGATTCATTTAATTTATAATAGTAATGATTTAAGGTACAGTAATTTGTTTTTAAATACAGTGAACCAGTATGAACTGGACTCTTAAGGTACTGAGTATTAATTTCCTAATGAAATAAACCACATTGAAACCATTTAATGTTTTATATGTCTCAGCCCATAGATCGTATTTCAAAATTTCTTTTTTGTCACAACATTGGTCTTGACAAGTTATACACACAATCTGATTCAAAATGGTACAGACACTGTAAAATAATGATATTAATAGAGAAATAATAAGCACATTATGAAACAATAGAAGGGAATTGACTATTGGTTTATTATGATATCATGTAATAATAACAAGGTTGCAGCCAATGTTTTCGTCTCTAAAATGTGAATGTCGAATGTCGAGCCCGGCTATCTTGTAAGCGGCACTTGACGTTCGACGTTCACGTTTTAGAGATGAAAGCCTCGGTCACAACCTCGCTATTAAGTCATACGTGTATCTTGTTTATTCATTACTTTGTAAACTATTTGGAATTTTTAATAAGATTTTATTCTCCTCATCTGTGATCAGTGAAATCATTAAAGTAAGGTAATTGTCCTACTTTAGTGATTCTACTGATGTATATTGATTTCCATTTTTATATTTTTTTCCTTCCTAACATACCGAACTTATTTTCTATAGGATTAGGATCAGAAGAACATGAGACTAATTTATAACATGCACACAATTTGCAAAAAACCATTTCCAAGTTGATTTTGCATTATGAGAGGATGCATTATCTTGTGGACATAGGAAAAACGTCCCTCTATTTTTTTTTCTTCAAATGGCATTTAGTGAACATCTAGTACTTGTGTGCTAGATGTTCACAAAACGATACCTACAGTATTAATATAGACCAGAGATAAAATCTAGATTTGTCGTACTATGCTTTCAAAAGTGCATATGACACCATCGTACTTCCAGCACCTTGCTGCAGTCTTGAGTGAATTAATTCATTTTCCCTAATATTGGGTCAATTGCTTCTCCAGCCATCTGGTCCCTCCATGTTGAATTTCTCCTCATCACTCCATATAACATGTTGCCATATATCAGAGCACGTCATGTGATATTTAGTCTTTGCCAAAGGCCTTTCTTTGTGGTTCTTATTTAGAGGCAGAATGTGTTTCATTTTCTGATTTTGATTTTGACACATTTATGGCTACATGACACACGATTTACCTTAGACTCATTGTAGAATTCATAATTTTCCTGCAAATTACTACTTTTCACGGGAATTCAATGCGGTGAGTCTTCCAGATGACATTATTTGCCATAAGATGAGAACAATTTTTCTCTCCCCATGGTGACCGTTTAACTTTTCATATATTCCGCAAGTATATTTTGTAGAAATTCACCCAAATATACTAATATCCAGTATTACATAGTATCCTGTGTGCTATTTTGCATATTAATTTTTCATAGTATTATAATACAATATCCTAATAAACCAATAATCAATACCCTTGCACTGTTTTGCATTGTTCTTTGCATATAAAAATGATGGGGAAGAAATGGCTGTTCATGTAGAAAGAAATGTTACAGAAAATTGGGAGCCTGTTAGACCAATTGGACCAAGGAGTGATTGATTACATGCTAATAATGAAACACTATTTATCCACTAGTGGCATTGAAACATTTTGTGTCTGCATGGGAATCAGTTCCACAATGTATTAAATACTTTTTATTCATTTATTAATATCATTTCAATGTGGCTCTATTATGGTGTGTTTCAAATTTATACGGACACGAAAAAATTAAAGTGAAATCCAAATTTGCTGCATTAAGTGACAAATGTTTTATTAAAAATAACATGGATTTACATGTTTCCACATTGCAAAATAAGAATTTTAATCAAACATTAACATTTTGTCACTGAAAATAATGTTTATGAAACTCTTATACAAAAAAACTGTTACATATTTATCCGGACAGGTTTCAAATTGCAAAGTTTTCTTACAATTTAATGGCCAATGTAACCACCATTTAACTTAATTACATTAAATACTCGATTAGGCATTGTTTCAATTAGATTCTGAAGGAATTCAATCTTAAGTTTATCCCAAGCATCTGAAATTGCTGCCTTCAAATCATGAATTGTGGAAAACTGCTTTCCATTGGCATAAACTGTACGAACCATCATCCCCCAAAGATTTTCCATCGGATTCAGGTCAGGGCTTCTAGCAGGCCATGTCATCAGATTAATATTTTTACGTTTAAACCACATTTTTGTTGATTTAGAGGCATGCACAGGGGCATTGTCTTGTTGAAAGATCCAATTTGGTCCACAAATATTTGGTCCAGCTTCCAATAAATGATCTTCAAGCATGCCTTGATACTTCTTTGAATTCATTCTTTGAGTTATAAATGCTAAATCTGTGGTTCCGTTGAATCCAAACGCACCCCACACCATTATTGATCCCCCACCCATTTGGCGTTTTGAAAATATTTGTTTTTCGGTTCTTAAATCGTGCCAATAATACTTCCAACCGTCTGGACCATCTAAGTTGAATTTTTTTTCATCACTGAACAAAACTTCAATCCATTCTTCGGACCATGTCATGTGTTTTTGTGCCCAATCAAGTCTGTCACTTTTGTGCTTTAATGAAAGTGGTGGCATTACAGCTTTTTTTCTGAATTTTAACATTGGAGATTTATTTAAAACTCTCCACACTGTTGTGCTGCTACAAGGCAAGTCTAATTCTTGTTTTATTTTTCTTACTGATGTTTGTTTTGTGGAGCAAACCTTGATGATTTGTCTACAATCTCGAGGAGTAAGCTTGGGTTTTGGACCTGTCTTGAATTTTGGTACATCCTTGCCACGTCTTTTTGATAAATAATCACCAACAGTTGATTTTGGACGATTTATATATGCTGCAATTTCTCTTATTGACTTGCCTTGTGATTTATAGGCATCAATCTGCCCTTTTTCATAATCAGATAAATTCTTTGTTCTACCCATTTTAGAACGTTGAACAACGTAAAGAATTTGTATTACAATTAGATATGTAAGCTAATTTGCATATTTCAATGCTTGAAACTAAACAATATTCTGTTTAAGTCATAAAATGAGTGCCTGTCCGGATAAATATGTAACAGTTTTTTTGTATAAGATTTTCAAAAATATTATTTTCAGTGACAAAATATTAATGTTTGATTAAAATTCTTATTTTGCAGTGTAGAAACATGTAAATCCATATTATTTTTAATAAAACATTTGTCACTTAATGCAGCAAATTTGTGTTTCACTTTAATTTTTTCGTGTCCGTATAAATTTGAAACACACCTTATTTTCTATAATAGTTAAAAATAAAAAAAGTGTTTTAAATTAAATATAACAGATGGCGCTATCAAATTTTAAATGTTGCCTGGAAAGTTTAGCAACTCGTTGTTGGTTTTATTTATACATCATATAATTGTTTTAGTTGTTAAAGTGTAATCTTAGGATTGATTTAGTTATTTAAAATTCCTACGGAAATTAAAAATTATTACCGCTATCTCTTTTCGAAATATTCATTTTTTTTATTAAGCTGTTTTCATTAAATAATTTAAAAAAAAAAAAAAATTCCAGCAACGAGTTGCTTAATTATCCCGGCAAGATTTAAAACTCCGTATGTGGTGCCATCTATGATATTTTATTATTAAAAAATTTTTTTATTTTTAATTTTTCTAAAATGTCAAAAAATCTTAATTTTCAGTTAGGGACGGCTTTTATAAAACATTTTAAATACTAATAACGAGTAAAATCGTCATTAAATCCGACCCTACTGGAGATACACACGACCCCCATTATCTCCCTTCCTCCTCGACCTTTATCCGCAAAATTTTAACAGCACTAACACCCCTAAAAAGCAAGTCACCCTGCGAAATTTCAGAAATTTTCCACAAAAATCCCAGGAGTTATTAAGCTTCAAAGAGGATGAACAATGTGATACACACACAAAGAACAAAAACCACTTTACATGCATTACATTTAAAGTTTTACAAGACTATGTTAAAGCACGCGCAAGCATACATCCGAAACATAGTCATGTCCCAAATACGGTTTTGCCATTTTACTTGTTTCATTTAAAATATATGCTCTCCATCTCAAAATAGTAGTGGCTTGCCCCTGTATATCATACTTTTCCTTTTATAATAGATTCGTGTCTGTCAATCTATTAAAATTTTCAACGATTTAAGTTAAAATTATCGAGAATCAATTTATAAAAGTACTGTAATAGAATTTTAAAGTAATATACAGTACAGTTAATCTGTATAAACCGGATATTTTTCGGCAGGTTTTCGCTTTATTAAGGTTCCATTTTGAACAGGTTTAACTATAAATAAAGGTTTTATTCTACCGAGTTCAAAAATCTTCCTAACAAATATAATATTAATCTTAAAGATTTTAAATGTTATAAGAAAGCCTTCGATGCGACGGGAGAAAATTTGGACGAACATTTGATTATATGCCATGAAATTTATTATATATCGTGTAATAAATATATAATTTTTTACTTTTAAATTGTTTTTCAATGTTTATTTTTTATCGGAGTATAACATTGATTACATATGAATTTTGCGAAGTTGTACAGTACATATTTGCAAAACACATGTTTAATGGTCGTGTGGTGCTTTGGAGAAGTTTTACTCAATACTTTGCCATCATATTCCGTTTACAGAAACTGCAGAAATTGGCATTCAAATTCAGTCTTTTGGCAAACAGAATATGCCAGAAGCAAATTATTCAAGGTTTAATTTGTGTTCGTGTGATTGAATTCATAAATGTGTTCACAGTTTTGTCTCTTGTTCGAAACTGTTTTCAGTTTAAATAAGCCGGAAAAAATGGAATGTAGTGTACTTGCCATCTGAAATATAAAGCAAATCATTACCAAATCTGTTTAGAGAAAGTTCTAGAAGACAATATTAAAAGAAAAGGTAATGCAACCTTGAAAACAATTCTCTTATCTACAACAAAAAATCCACCTATTGAAAAAGACAGGGAGACTTTTCCAAATCTTTTCATAAAATCCAGAATCTGAAAGTATGAAGAGTAAATATAAAATAATTATTTATTAAATGAATATACAAAACACATACCTTCAGCTTTCTTTTCAGTCCAATATTACATACTGCAAATTGTCTGACGTCTTGAAACGTATTTTCCATCTGCAGCATAAAAAACAGTATAGAAATAAAATAAAAAACACGTCAATGGTGTATGTAGAATATAATTACCATAAATGCGAGCGAGCACAGCAGACATCCAGCTATTACGCAAATACACGTGCATATTACCATAAGTAAAAATATTATATATTTAAAGTAATAATGAAATTCCAGAAATAAAAATGCGTAGCAGAAATAACTTGTACACCAAAGGACAACAAAATAGATAATTACAACTACTAAATTGTACTTGGTATTGTGTTGTCGCATGAAAAGCCAAAGCTCTTGGTGATGCAACATTAATTCGTTTAGCTTTGTGTGTAAATCTGAACCAAATCTTTTAATTAAAAACAATTCCCGAGACAATTGTTCTAACTCTTGGTGAGCGATGATGCACAGCAATGCCACTATTAAAAAAGTAAAACCGAGTCCGCCTATAACATAACTTACACTTACAGAAATTTGGATACTACAGAATAGAGCTTCCCCACGAAATTTTTTCTTCTTTTCTATGTAAGGATAAAGAACGAAAATCACAAGAATTAGAAATAAGATAATAACTACTATTATAATTATAGACGCAAGCAGAACAATTCTTCTCAATAAGTTGTAATTATTCTTCATTTTTCTACGAAAATTCTCGTTCTTTAATGCCTGTATTAATACCACTTTGTTTCTTCTCACGTATCTGAAAACAATACAATAACTGATAGATAGAGAAGAATATAACAGTTTGTACAATGTGAAATGAGTTTTCACTATATCAAATTCTCCGTTGCAAATTGAATATTCTAAACCCGGTATTGTTTTCCAAATGAGAAGAATTGTTCGTTGCCATAAACAAAATTCGATTATTCGAACATATACATTCTTAAATTTCGAATTTATACATATTCTAATTTTGTTTCGGCAATTGCAAGATTCAAACGGATCTAGCCCAAATATGAGGGCAGTCGTCCAACAAGGACTAAGGAAACAGTTCATACACGTTCCTTCTTGTAAATTTGGGTTCATGTTTATTTGCATCCAAGCTTTACGAAGCAAAATGATGCTCTGAATAAAAGTGGTTGTTACATAAAGCAATTATCTCTAAAAATACCACGATATGAATTATTAGAAATGTGTGATATGTATTATAAATTTCCTGCCACAATATTTCCACTGGATAATATTGAAAATTAATTAACTAAGTGCAGGTTTTATTGATTAATCAATAGATTAAACATTGTTAATAAAGGATGATGTTGTAATACCTCGAACCTTACATTTTATCTTTTACAAGAATAATACAAAATTTGAAAACGAGTTGCTTAACTTTTTCCGGCGTGTTTGGCGCTATATGTTATGATATTTTATTATTAAAACCTTTTTATATTTTTTAAAAATGGCAAAAATCTTAATTTTTGAGGGTAAAAATGGTTTTTTTTAAAATGATAAATAATAATAACGAGTGCAATCGTCATTATATCCGATCCTACTGGAGATACGCACGATATATGACTACAGTAGACCCCCCCATAACGCTTAGATACGTTCCACGTTATTCGAATTTTACGTTATAGGAATCACTAAATACATGAGCCAATCACAGCTCGACACGTGTGAAGTTTACGGACTAAGGCTGTTTGAAAGGTTTTCTTCTATAAAATTAACCGATTCTAGACTAATTCCACTCAACATTTTCAAAACACGTATAATTTTTTGGGAATAATCCGTATAAACTATGCTATAAACAAAAAATTGTAGGATTACTTACCGAGTGTGCACC